TCTCCCCAGATTGACACTGTGGCCAGTACTGACCTGATACTGTTGACGGTGTATTTTCAGTCTGCTGGTCTCCTCTTTGGGCTCTAACTGCCCTTCCCAGTCTATTTTGGTCAACAAGAGGGGTATTCAACCCAATTAGGGGAAAACAGCAATGGTTTCTGGAAAGATACCCACAAGGATATCTGCTCCCCAGAAAACTACAGATGTCTATCTCTATAATCTTCTGATGCTTCCTTTTCAAATGTCTCTTCCTCCCACAGCTTCCAGCTACTGTTGAATGTGCAAAAACACTGGCTCATGGACACAGAAGGGGGCTTTTAAGCATTGTTTCCGACCCTTTGAGTTCGGATGTCATGAGCTATGCAATGTGGAAGCATTTTTTATTTTCTCAAACATAAGCAAATGCACTTGTATATTTTAACTCTATGGCAAACTCAGTCCATGAATGTTTATTACCTTATCTTGTTCATTTAAGATACTTTTGAATTTGTTACTAGTACTTTATGTCAATTTTTCAGACCATCTGGATATGAAAATATATGAACCCTTAAAATAATTTCATCCTTGTACAGTTAGAGCTTTGACCTGGGGGAGGATAGCCTCTCATAGTCCACCCTGGAGCAGGCAGGTCATGTTTTAGATAAGACATCAGCATGTAAAAGCAACAGATTAATAAAGCATCTTCTTCCCACTCACTTGGAACTATAGTAGGTGGTATGACATCCTTCTCTCCTTATTTCTTTCCCTCCTTTCAGGTTTTCCTGGAGTTCTTCAAGGGGCAGGAACTTAATGATCTTGATGGGGAACTTGATCCTTCTGTGAAGTGGAAGCTCCTACAAGAAGAGCCTTAAAGTCCAAATACCCTATGATTCTGTTTAAGCCTCTGCTGTCTTGTAGCTTTAATATTATGCCTTAATATTTAATAATAATACCAATTATTTGGTATAAGTTATCATGGAACTCATGCTATAATTTCACACAGAAATGCTGAAATGAGTCTTCATGCCAAAAGAAGAGCAAGTGCTGGGGTAGAGTCAGGGACGGCGTTGACTGAGAAGATCACCTGGCCATAGCCAAGACAGAGAGGCAGATGGATGGAGAGATATATATAAGTGGATGGATGGATAGGTAGATAGATAGATAAACAGACAGATAGATAGATGATAGATAGATAGATAGATAGATAGATAGATGATAGGTAGATACACAAGTAGATAATAGATAAATCATAGCTAGATAGATAATAGATAAATAATGGATAGATAGCTGATAGATAATAGATAAATAATATATAGATAATAAATAATGAATAGATAGTTAGATAGATAATACATAGATAGATGATAGATAAAAAGATAGCTGATAGATAAATAGTTATCTTTGATAACAGATCAAACTGGTGAGTGTACAGGTACTGGACTCTAAAAGCATCACAACTCTCATTTAGGTCAATGTTGGATGTTGGCCTGATTATTATGCTATCTGCCAAATGTAAAAGTTAAATATTAATTCCAATTATTTCCCGGACCCCTTTCAGGTTTATGATAAAAATAAAACCGAAACCAAAAAACATAAAACAGGTGATCAATTTAGAGTATAATCCTCAACTATCTATTTGGTAGCGCAGAAGGTTAAATCTTTGTGTTTTTCGGGAAAGAGGTTGGAATTTGGAAGCCCAGGTCATCTGAGACTGGACTGGCTTCTTTCTAGCTATGTCGTTGAGAGTAAATTCCATAACCGTACTGAGTCTAGTGTCCTCTTAATCCTACTTACTCTTTGGGTTATACGGGACTCAAATGAGAAACTGCAGGTGGCAGCTTTTGTAACTGTAAAGTTTACACAAATTATCTGTTGAAGCAGAATGCCATGAGTAACACTGCAGAATGTGTGAAAGTTGGCTAAACAAAGTGACTTTCTAATAATTCCTAAAATCTTCGCTGGTAAAGAGGTCACAACCCAGTAAGTCTCTGATCTATTCCTCAAGGACGAGAATCCCACACAGTAAACTATTCTCATTTTAACAGAATTTACCCACCCTTGACACTTCCAATGCCATAAGGTCTGTAGGTCATATGGCTAAAGTGGCAAGACCACAGTACACTCTGGACCTGCTGTGAAGTCCCTTCTTGCTCCAGGCCACACTCAGTGATGGTATCCTTTGCTGTCAGGCAATATGTGGGCTGGAGCAATGTTACTACATGTTGAATGTGTTGCCTCCGGAACCCAAAGAGACATACCAGGTACTGTTCTTTCTTCTTATTGGTACGGGATGCAGGATGTGGCAATTTGTCTTTTGCTTTGGAGGAGAAATGCAGAGCACTCCTGACCACTGGACCCATAAAATCTTCACTGAAGTGATGAGTTCCAGAATCTTTGCAGGATTTATCTCCTACTCTCAGGAGCATGTGTGCCTCCCAAGGTCACCAGTATTCTAGTCATCTCTTGCTAGTCCTGACTGATCAGCATGATGTTATTGATGTATCAATAGGATGTTCTGTGGGATGTCCAGGTAGTCCAGATCTCTTAAAACTATGACAGAGGCAGGAGTGTTAACATAGCCCTGAGGCAAAACTGTAAAAGAATATTATTGTGTCACTTACCTGAATGTGAACTCTTTTTGATATTCTTTTCTAATCAGAATAGAAAAGAAGGCATCTGGCTAGTCACTGGCTGAATATCACGGACCTGCTCTAGGAAGAGATAGCGTGTCTAACAAAGCAGCTGTGGTTGGGATCACTACCTGGCTGAGCTTACAATAGCCTGCTCATTCTCCAGAATCCATCTGGTTTCTGGAGGAATGAGATTGGCAAATTAAATGAAGATGTGATAAGTACCACTCCTTTTGTATTCTTTATGGCCTTAATGGTCTCTACTTTCCTCCTCCTCAAGATATAGTATTGTTCTTGATTAAATGTCTTGGCTGAGGCTTGGGTTGTGGGAATTGTCAGAGATGTCCACTTTCCCTTCCCCATTATGAGAGTTCTTACCCCACAGGTCAAGGACCCAATGTGGGGGTTATTCCAGCTCCCAATCAATCCTAATGATATACTTGGTGATAGAGAAATGACCACTGGGTATGTTCATAGACCCAGTGGGACTGCATGAAGCTAGACTTTAACTAGAACTCCACTTACTACCTTGGCACCATACACCCATTCTAACACAGTGGGGCCATAGTAACATATTGGTTTTCCAGGTATCAATGTCCACTTAGACCCTATGCCAAATAGCCTTTGTCTGAAAATTTCTCTTTCTCCGGTACACAGTCATCCAAGTAAATGGCTGTAGGTCCCTTTGAGTAAGGACCGGGGGAACCGTCATAGTATATACTTGTCAAGATGTTTCAGGATCCTTCCTTCTGGCTACTTCTTCAGACAGTAGATTCTGGTTCTAAACATTAGCTCCAGACTGAGAACTAAGCAAGGGATAATAACTTTTTATTGGGGTGATGGTGACTGACCTTAGCCTCTTACTCTACATTCCTGACTTTTTCTGGTTGTAGCTACTAAGAAGCATCCAGTTGGCTGCCTACCTATTTTGCCCCTATATGATGGTAAGTTTTCTACATTCCCCTTAAAGTGGTAAAATATTGCTTCCAAGTAGACTATGTAAAGTTAAGTGTGTTTTTGTAATCCCTGGAGCAATCACTAAAGTAACTATACAAACACGTATAGTTTAAAAACACAATGGGTAAATTAAAGTAGAATATTAAAAAATGTTCAAATAACCCAAAAGAAGGCAGGAAATGTGAAGCAGAATAATGAAAACCAGAGAGAAAAAACAGAAAACAAATAACAAAATGACAGACCTGAGTCCAAAAATATCAACAGTTACATTAAATGTAACTGGTCTAAACACATCAATTAAAAGACGTATATTGTCAGATTGGATTTAAACAAAACAATAACAACAAAAAAATTACTCCACAATAGGTGTTCTAAGAGAAGTTCAATTCAAATATAATGATATAGGTAGTTGACAATATAAGGTTGGAAAAAATATACCATGAAGACACTAATCAAAAGAAAGTCAGAATGACTGTGTTAATATCAGAAAAAGCAGTCTTCAAAGCACAGAAATCTACCAGGGATAAAGATAGACATTACTTAACGATAAAAGGGCTAATTCACCAGGAAGACATGACAATCCTATATGTGTATGCACCTAATACCACAGCTTCAAATTACGTGAGGCAAAACCTGTTAGATCTGAAAGGAAAAATAGGAAAATCTCTAATTTTTGTTAAAATCTTCAATACTCCTCTCTCAGTAATCAACAGAACTAGCAGACAGAAAATCAGCAAAAATATAGAACAATGGGACAACACCATTAACCAACTAGATGTAATAGATATTTATACAACATTCCATTCACTCAATGGCAGAATATACCTCTTTTCAAGTGCATATGGAATATTCACCAAGATAGATCATATCCTGGGTCATAAAATAAATTTGATATATAAAATAAATTTTCTGACCACAATAGAATTAAACTAGAAATCACTAACCAAAAGGTAACAGGAAAATCTCCAGACACTTGGAAATTAAGCATCACACTTCCAAATAATTCATGGGCCAAAGAGTAAGTTTCAAGGGAGATTAGAAAATATTCCGAACTTAATGAAAGTGAGAAACAGAGGAATGAAAATCCCGATTATCCAAGTGATGGTGTCAATCAGGCAGACTAGAGCTCTGTGTAGAGAGAAGAGCTTTTCTCTTTTTAAACCGTTTACTTTCTCATGGTTTAAAGACAGTGCTTTAAATTTTGATAGTAGCCACACTCATCTTGGGCATAATAGAGAAAAGCTTACGAATACTAGATTTTCTCTCTAAGGTTGCTTTCTATAAGATGATGTGGCCAGGCAACCAAGTGTAAATGCCACTGCTCGGCAAGAGCTGGCTGAATGTCAATGAGCAGACAGGCAGTCCAAGGGTGATCATGTGAATGTGATGTTTGGCAGGGCCACCAGAATTGAGATCATAACTTCTCTTCTGAAAGCAGTCTTCACAGGAACGTTTCACAGAAGTCAAAGAGTTAAAGCGAATTCTAGAGATATGGACCAGGAAATAATGTGAATTATTTTCTGCTAAATGAGCAGACCAGTGGACAAACTGTGCTTCTAGACTCCTTGCTTCAAATTTCTCCAAAGTAAGTTCATTGTATGTTTTCTGTTTTGTGTGTTTTGTTTTGAGGGTTTTCTTTTTTCAATCACAAAATTATAGAGAAGAATAGGAATTGAATGCCAACCATCTGTGGAGAAATTATTTTGAAAATTGATGGGCTATTATGATGTTTTTGGATATCTGGTGTCTAATATTATAAAGATGAAATCATTGAGTTAAAACACAAGTTTTAAAAAATTATGCAACTAGTTTTAAGCCAGAAACTGAGTGTGGGAATAGCTGAAATTTGCTAATAAATTGGTTGTGAAGAACTAAGAGTCTTAAGAATTGCTTTGTAAATCTGGGTTGTTTTTGAAGTTATAGTTATTTACTTTTATTGCACAATAATTTGGGGCCTTTCTTTTCTGGCTTTGAGACTGTTGACCAAAAGCATTTACAGAAATATTTTTACTCCCCCTATCTCTCACTCTCCGGCTATAGGAATTTTGGAAATGTAAGATGCTTTCCAGGATCTTTTACTCTGTGCACACCATGTATTGAATCAGAACGTGAAATATGTAGCTTTTCTTTATCACAATATTATTTCAAATGCATATTCTTCGCAGTAAACAGAACTTGCATGTTCCTATAGTTTTAGCATTTGTTCTGAATTTAACAGCCATATGAGAGGAGAAAAATCAGAGTCGTTGCAGTTTGAAACTATTTACTATATGTATAAAAAGGAATTCATGTGGTCGTTAGTCTTTTGATAAACTATAGAACCTACATGAATTAAGGAAAAATAAAGTAGGCAATACTAATTTATGATGGAAAATCTAAGGGGTTGGAGCCAGACTGAAGTTTCCATGCCTACATTGGTGTGTGGCTGATTCCACAGTGAGGAGATCACCTTCTTGGCCAGCTTACCCTCCTGTGCAGCCCCGAACAGTCCCTCTAAAAGTGCCTATGCTGAATTCTCTGCACTGGGAACAACCTTTGGGGATCCTCAGCCCCTCTCACTGGACACCCTGACCTGATGCTTTTTTTCTTGGAACTGTCTTCTTCCCTCCAATTGTCACTCCATAGACTTTCTGACCTCTTTACTCAGTCTGCTTCTGCCTAGACTTGCCTCTCAGCCTCACTGAGCAGCCATGTGTAGGCTCTTCCTCTGGCAATGCCCTCTGAGGCTGTCTTGGCTAATATGCCTCCCATTGGAACTGGCTTCTGGACACCTTACTTGAGCTTTGTCTCCAGGAAATAGCCCAGCCCTGAGCATCATCCTGTTCTGTGAATGGAATGAGAGCTTCAGGCAGGAACACACCACTGCTTATCACTACGGAGGAGGAGCTCATGCAACCATGTGGTTTTTATCCCTGGCCAACATGACATACACACAGAGGGAGGGGACCAGTTGCTCCAAATTCAGGACTTAAGAGCCAAATTCAGGGCAGAGCTGCTGGCTCTGTGCTCAAAAGTCTTGACCCATTCTTCCAAGTCACATCCCTGGCATGCTTCCCAGAAAACTGATGATTGCTCCAGAATCCCTTTACTTTCCATAACTCAGCTTAGATACACTATTTCCTCCTGCAGTGAAGACCTTTTGAGAGAACTCAAGTCTCACAATTCTCAGGAGAAGCTCAGCACCTCATATTTGTGTAGTACCGGTTGATTAGGGCTAGGGAAGGATGTGTTGTTATTATTATGCACTGAGGCATCTCCTTCTGGGAGGTATTTCAGAAGGGTCTCCGTGACAATAAAATCTATGTATAAATTCCCTTACTAAATCGTCACCACCACCACCACACACACGCATACACACTCATATATATGCTCCTTGCTCAAGGTTCAATACGCTAAAACTGGGATTTGCAGCTTCTACCAGGGGAAGGGTGTGGTCTACTGCTCTACTCCTGCTCTCTCTGTGCTGGTGCCATATCTATGGAAGAATAATGCTGCTCTCTGCGGGCAATGTTAGGTAAAGTTCGTGGAATGTTTTCACGGTGAACTAGCCTACACACAAGTGAAATGGTCTTGAGATCTTAATCTAGCTAAAGCTTCTCCAAGCCTGGTTCAGGTGGAGTTTCTACCCTCCATCTCAAGCACAAGCTCAAATATATCACAGTAACCTATACAATCCATTGGCAAGTTTAACCATAAGTGGTAAAAATAAATCTACTTTATGTATGATTTAAATTAAAGATAGAGCCAAATTTCTATATAATAATAACCAGGATGATCAGGGTTGGAATTCAGCAGAGAAGTAAAGTATCTAGAAAGTTTTTGGTTGTATGAAGACGATAGGGAAAATAAATGGTGTTAAGTTTTCATTAAAAAAAGTTCCCCAGGAAAATCCAAAATTTAAGGGTAACCATTAAAGGAACCTAAATATATTCGGTGTCTTTGGGATAGGAAAGAAACCATGGGGGAAAAAAGAAAATGATAAAGTTCAATAGAATATAAGAATACGTATAACTAGAAGCAAAGAAAAAGCAGGTTTAACATGAGAGTAAAACACAATGAAAGATCATTCCAAACAAAAATTTATACATGGTTAAATTCATCTCTTCAAAATATAGTATCCATCAGTTTGGTTTTCTAAAAATAAAGCAACTATGAATTTTCCATACATTAATCAAACATTCAAAAATTTAGTAAAAAGTTAAAAATAAAGGGATGGATAATGCTACATTAGGCAAATATTAAGCTAAAGAAACCTCATGTATCTATGCTATTATCAGAAATAGAAGCAACCTACCATTAAATCATAATCAATAGTGCAGTGTTTTATGCACCTAACCACTTACCCTTTAAATTCCCATACTAAAAACTAACAGAAATATAAGAAATTGGCAAAGTTATCATAAAATTTCATGTAAAATTTCAATAGAATTCTATATGAAATTATTGATCTTGTAAATATAACATTAGAAAGGATTCTGAAGATTCAAAGAACACAATTTAAAAAATTAAAAATATATGTACAAAACAACCTAAAACATGATATATGTTTATTGCAAGTATACATGGAATATTTCCAAATATTAAAGTATGCTGCACCACCAAGGAAGTCTCAGGGAATTTTAAAGAAGCACTATCTTACAGACTAGTAGTTCCTCTGACCATAACATGATTAAGTTAGAAATCAAAAATAAAAAGTCACTAAAACCAAAGAAACAATATCGTAGAAGATAAACAAGCAATCCTAAGTAACATATCTGTGGTCTATTGCTGAATTTACATTGCATAGCAGAAAAAAAAAAAGGCAACAAATAACATACCACAATAATAATTTATAGCTGGGATGCCTGGAGTGGTTCTTAAGAGGCTCTGCTGATCCTAGACAGGCTTGCTCACATCTCTGGGGCCTGGCTGGCTATTGTCTGATGTAGGATACTCTAAACTGGGATGCCTAGGATGACTCAGTTCTGTTTCATGTGCCTTTCATCCTCCAGAGGCTAGCCCCGGTATGCTCTTACAACAATGGCAGAGCCACAGGAGCAAGCAGATACACTCAAGGCCTCATAAGGTCTAGGTTCAGATGAGGCACATCATTACTCGCACCTCCTTCTACTGGTCAAAGTTATAGTCTGCCTTTATGGAAGGAACTCCAAAGTTACCAGACAAAGGGCATGGACACAAGTTGAGGTGAAGAATTGGGGCCACTGTGTTGAATAAGACTGGTGAGAGTGGGCACCCTTGTCTTGCTCCTGATCTTAGAGGAAAAGCGCCTTTGAGTACGATGTTAGCTGTGGGCTTGTCATATATGGTCTTTATTGCGTTGAAGTGTGTTCCTTCTATATCTAATCTGTTGAGGGTTTTTATTATGAAAAGATATATTTTGTCAAATGCTTTTTCTGCATCTGTTGAGATGATCATGTGATTTTTATCTTTCATTCTATTCACGTGGTGTAGCACATTTATTGATTTGTGTATGTTGAACCATCCTTGCATCTCAGGGATAAATCCCACTTGATCATGATGTATGATACTTTTAATGTGTGGTTGAATTCAGTTCGCTAATATTTTGTTGAGGATTTTTGCATCTATGTTCATCAAAGATATTGGTCTGTAGTTTTCTTGTAGTGTCCTTGTCTGGCTTGGGCATCAGGGTAACGCTGGCCTCATAGAAGAGGTTGGAAGTGTTCTCTCCTCTTTAATTTTTTGGAAGAGTTTGAGAAGACCTTGTGTTAATTCTTCTTTAAATATTTGGTAGAATTCACCAGTGAAATAATATGGTCCTGGGCTTTTTTTGTTGGGAGGTTTTTTGTGTGTGTGTGTGTGAGGAAGATTAGCTCTGAGCTAACATCTGTGGCCAATCCACCTCTTTTGGTAAGGAAGATTGGCCCTGGGCTAACATCCATGCCCATCTTCCTCTACTTTATATGGGATGCCGCCACAGCGTGGCTTGACAAGCAGTGCGCTGGTCCACACCCAGGATCCAAATCTGCAAACTCTGGGCTGCTGAAGCAGAGTGCACAAACTTAACTGCTACACTACTGGGCGGGCCCCCCCCCCTTTTTTTTTTCGGTGAGGAAAATTAGCCCTGAGCTAACATCTGTGCCAGTCTTCCTCTATCTTGTATGTGGATTGCCACCTCAGCATGGCTGATGAGTGGTATAGGTCCGTGCCCAGAATCCAAACCATCAAACCTGGGCCACTGAAGTGGAGCACCCTGAACTTAACCACTATGCCGTGGGGCCGGCCTCTTGTTGGGATATTTTTGATTACTGTTTGAATATCCTTAGTTGTTATTGGTCTGTTCAGATTTTCTATTCTTTCATGATTCAGCCTTGGTAGATTGTATGTTTCTAGGAATATATCCGTTTCTTCTAGGTTATCCAATTTTTGGCATATAATGGTTCACAGTAGTTTCTTATGATACTTTGTATTTTTGTGGTATCAGTTGTAATGTCTTCCCTTTCATTTCTTATTTTATTTATTTGAGTCTTCTCTCTTTTTTTCTTAGTCTAGCTAAAGTTTTGTCAATTTGATTTATCTTTTCAAAAAACCAGCTCTTAGTTTTGTTGATCTTTTCTTTTGGTTTTCTGGTCTCTATTTCATTTATTTTAGCTCTTATCTTTGTTATTTTCTTTCTTCTGCTAACCTTGGGCTTAGTTTGTTCTTATTTTTCTAGCTTCTTGAGGTGTAAAGTTACGTTATTTGTTTGAAACCTTTCCTTTTTCTTTTCTATTTTTTTCTTAAAATATTCATTTATCACTATACAATTCCCTTTTAGAACTGCTTTTGCAGCATCCTATAGATTTCGATGTGTTGTGCTTCCATTTTCATTTGTCTTGAGATATTTTTTGATTTTCCTTTTGAGTTCTTCTTTGACCCATTGGTTGTTCAGGAGTGTGTTCTAAATTTTATGTAAAAAATATTTGTAAATTTTCCAGCTTTTCTCTTGTTGTTGATTTCTAGTTTCATACTATCGTGATGAGAAAAGATACTTGGTATGATTGCAATCATCTTAAATTTGCTAAGACTTGTTTTATGGCCTATTATATGATCTATCCTTGTACATGTTGGGACGTCTTGAATATGTGAGATTTTCCTCTCTCCTCCTTCAGTGATAGGTTATCTGCTTTGTGTCCATGCTGGGTCCCTTCAGTAAACCTCAGCAGCAACTTATCTTTGCTTAGGAATGGGGGCAGGAAGCTTTCCCACCCCATCCTCAGTGGTAGATGGCTGTTGCTTTTTACATGGTGCAAGGATTGTGTCCAGGGCAAGGTGGTTTCTTTCCACTCCCCCAGGGGAAGATGGCTGTTTACTTCTACCCATCCCTTAGCACCAGTAAAAGTGTGTCTGGAGCAGGAGTAGAGGTGGGGGTGGGAGGATTTACAGGTTTCCCCCACCAGCAGTCATTGCCTGTTGCTTCAACCGCTCCCCAAGATGCAACAGCAGGTCTTTGTGTGGAGCTGACAGGGACTCCTTTCCCTCCTCAAGGGGTCTGCAGATTTTGCTCTTAGGAGAAAATATTCTGAGAAGTGAGCAGGTTTTGTGACCTACGAGCCACTGAGGAGTCTCTCAGGTCTCTTGTTTTGCCCCCATCTTTTTTATGAGTACCAAGTGTGGCTTATGCGAGAGAGTTGGCAAATAAGTGTGGACTCCCCTTGTGCCAGGACTCCCAGGAATTGTAAACAACCATGCTAGTCCACACTGAGCCTTCAAAGATTCATTCACATTTCATCTGTTTTCTTCTGACCTGCTTTTTTAGTGACTTTGTCTTACTCCCATACTTACCAAAAGTGAAAGTGTTATTGGATCCCATCTATCCTTGAAGGAGACTTTTACCATTTGAAATTCAGTTCACCTGATTGCCTTATGATCTCAGCTCTTTCGTGGGCTCAAGAAAAGTTATAGGTTGTCTGGCTTTCTCTCATTGTTAGGAGAGTAGTAATGTTGTCTTGAGACTTTATGCATCATAAGTGAAAGGGGACTATAGGAAATCTTATAGAAAATGGCAATATCAGACATTGGTGAAGATATAGGGAAGATGACTTTTCACATACTTTTTATAGTAATACAAATTGCTGCAATGATTTTGGAGCATATACATGCATGTTCCTGGTGACTCTCCCATGCCTCTTTTTGGTAAACATAAGTACATTCTCCAAGACGGGACCAAGAAATAAATATCATTTAAAAATATAATCCTCTTTACAATCTGCCAGATTCTAAACTCTGGTGAGTTTTCTATCTTAACATTCTAATTTTTCACAGAAAGTAAAAATTAAGTTTTTTTTGTCACTGGGAAAAAAATTTTATAGTTTGCCCACACAAATCAGTGTAGAGTGCAGTGACTTCTGGAAATAACAAATATCCCATTGAATTGTCTTAGATAGGTTAATTCCTAAAACTAACCGTTTATTCAGGTTCTTTAATAAGCTAAATATAATAGAGATGTTAAGTTAGGTGTACAAGGATGTATTTACTTGTTGAAGCTAAGAGGGGTATGTGTATGTATTGGTCTGGGTGCAATCAGGAGACAGAAACCACAGAGTAACTTAAACAAAGGGAATTTAATATAGAGAATTATTAAACAATGATAGGAGAATAAGTATAAAGATAAACTGAGAACTCAAAAGGGTATCCTAGGCTGAAGGAAGAACAAACTCAGATGAGGATATCAGGTGCTGAATAATGTGTGGTTGCATAAGATGTGGTTGCAGCCCACTGAATGAAGAGAATCCTGAATGGTAATCTATGGGCACAAGGACTAGAGTGTACTGTCTTTGCAATAGGAGAGCTGAAGGAAACAAAGCTCTGGGAAAAAAGCTCTAGCTCTCTGGGGCTCCCGAATACACTACTGCTCCCTGAGCCAAGAGCTACAGAAAACACACAATGAAACATGCACTATCCAGGCACTTTGCACCGGACAAAACTATTTAGTCTGAGCAGTCGGAAAAACATACATTTTCTGGGAACCAGGCAAATGAGCCTCTCTGACACCAGGAAGAAGAGCCTCTTCTTCCTGCAATGTCTCTCCAGTCTTCTCTACCGACAAACTTTTACATCATGCCAGCTGGCAAAGAAAAATATTTAAAGGGCTCAGATCCATTTTCATAGAGCAGGCCGCGAAGGGTGAATTTGGAGCTGAGAAACAATAAATTAATAACTGGCACAGTGCATAACAAAAAAGTGATAGAGTAAAGAGTTTGGAAGTGGGGGGAAAAGGGAGGCAGGGGAGTAATAAAATGCTAACTTTGGAACATTCAGATTCTAAGCATTCATTTGGAATACTGGAGTTATCAGGCTACTCTTTTTTGTTTACAAGGTATTTCTTCTCATTAAGACCTTCGTATTTACTGCATCTTCTCTCTTTCTTTCTTATTAAACAGAGAAAAAATGAGTAAGAGAGAGAGAAGTGTGTGTCAACAAACTTGGGCCTTATTATGCAAGAACTGTATTTAAAAATGGAGAATGAAAAGGGACCCCCTACTGGTATGAGTCAATATCTATGTCACTTTGTATTTATGAAGGGAAAACGTATATTCCTTGGAAAGTATCTACACTTTGTTTATCTCCTTTCCAAAAAAATAAAACACTTTTATGCAACAAAAGAAGCTGTTCCTCAAACCAGAAATCTCTCTGAAGACATTTGCACCGACACTGGCTCATAAATTGAGATCTAAAAGCAATGAACTGGTCAGCAATAGAGAATCCAATAAATGTTTTAAAAGTCAATGGTCACACTTTTTACCAGTGTTCCCACTTACAGATGCTCAGGTTAAGATATTGGCATTCTGAAGATATAGTAAACATATCAACCCACAGATATAGGTAACTGGCATTTTCTTTTCTAGATCTCTTTCTCTTTTTTAAAATCAATCATTCTCTTCAAAGATAGTAGAAAATTTGGAAATGTAATTAGTGCCAAGAAGAAAATGAGCACTAGCTCTCATAATCTGACCATATAACAAAAATCCTGGTTAAACTTTGGTATCTTTTTAAAATCAGATAAATATAGCGAAGTAGTGTTTTTAACCAAATTGGAATTTTCCTGTATATATGTTGTGAGCTGTTTTCTATAATCACACATTTAGGAAATAGAGTGATTTCTTATTGGAATTTTTCAAGTGACCAGTGTTGATAACTAACCAAGACAATGTTTTTCAGGTTGCCTGCATTCTGTTGAGTTTCCGATAACAGAATCTTGGCATGTAACCAATACATTACTAAGCGAGCAATTCCTCGGAACTGTCTCTTGTGACACACAGGCTTTCAGCAGAATTAAATACAGCATAAGTAGTTCACCATGGTGATACCAGAGGATAATAATTTATAACAGCTTGCCACTGTTGCCTCTCATATTTTTATGATCAGTGCATGCTTTATACTGGTTCTGTGGATCAATAAATTTGAATTCATTTTAATCGCTCATTGGAATTAGACTGCTGAATTTTGTGCTGTACATATTTTAAATAGTTCATAATGTGGGATATATTGAAATTAGAAAAGTGAACAAGACAAACTGTATGACCAAATGATTATGGATGACTAATTCTAAATCATAATTTTATTTATTCTTTCTCTTGGCTTCTGTAGGAATTGTTAAACTCATTGTTCCTACTACTCTGTTTGTACCTGTACCCTAATAATCATCAAGTTAATGACTTTTCTTCACTGCCTACCATGGACCTGGGACAGGTAGATTCATTTAGTGAACCTAAATTTGCTATTGCATACACACCTGTCACCAATACAACCCAACAGATAATGAATAAAGTAGCTTCAGCCTCCTTCATGAAAGGTGAGTTTTCTAGCAACCTAAGAGGAATTTCTGATGTCACTATTTGGCTCATTTGACTGCAGATGCATTTAATTTGCATTTCAGTTGATAAGCCATGTCAACTGTCAAAATTTGTAGATTATGTGAAATGTGAATATACTTTCCCTTTGTTGGAAGTAAGAGGCTATCACTTAATATCTAGTCAAACTGAACACATTTCGTGCCATGCAAGGGATTATCACTTGCAGTGCACAGTCTCTCAACAAAGAAATCTGCTGATCTTGCAAAGGGTTTGGGGAAGCATGGAATACACAGATTGACAGACTTGGAAAAGCAGAAGTGTTTAGTGATTTGTTGACTTGTAGCTATGGAGGCATTGTTACTACAATGAGATTGTTGCTGTGGTATTTGCTTGTTTTTATAGACAAAAACAGCTAGTCTTTTAATGAATTTGATTAGAGGCATTTTATCCCCACCTTTACTACCAAATGGTTGTCTTACTATATTTGAAGATTGTATTGACGAGTGTTCTGTGCTTCAAATTTTCACCCTTCAGTGTGAAGTTACTTATCAATGAAAAATAAGCAGAGCATTATTATCGTCAAGATCACTTCTGTGACAATTTTCTGAAATTAGAGGAGAAGAAGGCAAGAGGCAAGAGCACTAACTTAGAGTCAGAGAACATTTGACTAGAAGTAGTTCTGCAACTGTGTTGGTGGTGTACATTTTGCAAATCATCAACTTCTCTGAGCCTCATTATCATCATATTCAAAATAAGATTAACAATACTATATTTTTCATGAATATATCAATTGAGAGTGAGAGAATCCCAATGCAACTTGTTTTGAGGAAAAAGAGCATCTTTTGTCTAGCTTAATGGAAAAAAGTATTAATGCACGACTGGATGGAGGTGTGTTGACAATGGAGGAAGAAATGTCTCCACTTCTCAGGTCTATAGTATTGTATACTGGCTTCGTTCACACATGGACTCTCCCCAAACAGAGGCAAAGTTGGTCTGCAGAATCTCCAGATTTAAGCTTTACCACATAAGCAACACCAGCAAAAGGAGTACAGATCCTTCCCAAGAGTTCAAAATAATTTCAGAGATTACATCCATTGGAACAAATGGTCTACTTTGGATTAGTCTTGGTCTTGGGTCCACCAAGAACTAATCTCACTGGGTAGGGGTATGCAGTGTTGTTATTGCCCATTAGTTGGGTTCCTAGGTCACTCTGTGAACCACATTCAAACCACGTGGTTTGCATTCTGCATTCTGCATTAATTTTAGGGTGTCTACTAGAAGAAGGACTGGACGTCAGGCAAGTAAAAACAACAATCATTCTTTACGAATATAAATGCATACCTCAAAATGGAATCTATGGTGATTGCCCCATAAATGTGAGTTGAGTTATAATTAATAAAAAAGCTTATAAAAGAAGATTAGAGCTTGAACAACTTTGTGAATATACTGAAAACCATGAAGTTGTACAGTTAAAAAGGATGAATTTTATGGTATGTAAATTATATCTAAATTTAAAAAAAGAATATAAAAATACCACTTAGAAGGTACTCAGTATTAATTTTAAGCACCATAGTTCCCGACCAAGAATATTATTATAAGGGGAACCTGTGGATCTTGCTCCACCCAGTCACTGGAAGTCTACAGAATGTCTCTTCTTTTTTGTCAACCCCTGTTCGTAATTCCACTCCAGCCTAGGTAGCCACTAATTTTGTGCTTGGCTTCTGACCCCTTAACTGGATTCAGTATCCAGAAGTCTGCCCTTCTCTGTAGTCTATATTCAGGCATTTGCTTTTAGGAGTCTCTACGGTAGCAGTTCCCACACTATGTTAGACTTCTCCTTCCTCTCCATGCTTCACTGCACACTGTTAGGCCAGGTGGATGTAAACCATTTCAAACTTGCTCTCCCTGGGACCTCCCCAACCATCACACCATTACCTCCACCTGAATCTGAATGTCTGCTCTGTGCGTCTTGCCTGCAAACACTGAATCCATTTCTGATTCAAGATCGTAATCTGATCTGAACTGTCCACCTAAGGTCCAGGATCCCAGGCTATCCTGAGACATGTTTGCTGTCACCCTCTGTTTCACAGATGTCCTCCTGAAGGTCCGCATGTCACGAACTTGTGCTTCTCAACAACATCCTCATTAAAAGCCACATGAAATTGTGATAATTAATACTCATTAAATGTCTACTGTGTGCAAGATCTTTACATAGAGTTTATCTTCACAATGAACCTGTTATTATCTTTATTTTAAAAATAAGGTAATTGCAATTATAACAATAAATATTCATTAAATGCTACCATGTGCTAAATTTCTACAAACTTTATTCTATAGCAATTGAATATTATTCTGTAATAATAATATTATTTTGTATTATATTTTTCTGTACTCTGTATTAATATTTGGTACTACTAATAATAGATATTATTAAGTTTATTTTACAAATATGAAAACCGAGTCATGAAGGTTAAGTGACTTACTCATGATCACACAGATTTAAGGATTAGATTCCAGAAAAAAATTTGATTCTATCAAAATACATGCTGCTTGCTCCCTTCACTTTTATCTTCAATATTCCCACCCCAATCCAGAATGTTTCTTCTATTCCTTCTCATTTTTTCAGTCTTAATAAAACATTTATATGGCGTTTTAATATCAAACTCAATATCTGCGAAAAAGGATTATTTTAGTGATATCAACATAATTACTCAACATATTTTTAAAATTTTCATTTTTTCCCCAGCATATTAACCATACTGTCAGGGTTGTTAAAGGAAAATGAAGTTATATAGTTATTTCCACCTGATACAAACCAGTGACTAATTGTGATTTAAATATATATATATATTTTTTACTACCATTTTAGATTTATTGTAATGCTAATTCTTCTGTGAATAATTTAATTGGTATGGTATGATATTATATGTGATTGAAATCAGTTCAATAATTACAACATATGAAAATAAAATAACTAATTTTCATGTATTCTGTCTGATTGTATCTAGATGGAACTTTAGAAATGTCTCTCTCCAACCTTTACTACATGACTTACTTGTAGTTAATACTTGATTTTGTTTTACTTCCATAAAGAACTCTAGTACAAACAATTGAACATGAAACCTGACGTTAGTCTCCTAGTAATTTACTAACAATAATATTCCCTTCCTGTAATGGCAGACAGAGAAGTCTTGGGACTGTCTGATGAAGAAACTATTAAAGACTTAACAGCAGATTATCCTAAGGAGATAGTAAGAGTCATTTTTACTAACACATTCTCATATCATTTGAAATTCTTGCTGGGACACAGAATCCCAACAAGGAAGGAACACAGGGACCATACAGGTAACTTTCCAGCTATACAATTCCACTACTCTCTATTTCTGTCACTCTCTATTCCACTACTCTCTATTTCAGCCTTACGTGAGAACAGAGGTTAGTACAGCAAATTTTAAAACCCCTCTCTGCTATGGTGATGTCAACAGGCCCATCGACACATTTAAAAAATGTACGTTGATTTTTGGGTATATTAACATACTGTATTATATTGTTGTTATATATGGTTATATATACATTTATATATATACGCATGCATGTATACATATACATATATATTATATGTCATATATTATTGTTAAAGGAAAATAAAATTGTTGATGGATAAAATAGAACAAACTTTCCTTTAATGTTTGAGTAAGCTTACATGAAAGTAAGGAAAATCCCCAACGGCCCAAAATGAGAAGGGCACCAAATCCAGAGTGATGAATTATCATTAATGCTATTTGATTTTGCCAATCTCAGTAACCAGAAGTTTGGGTTTTAGCAGCTATATGAGGACAGGTCAGAAGATCTTGGGTTTACAGTGAAGGTTCCTGTATCAATTTGGAACCCAGAGAGGCTGTGTACTTAGTGAAAGTAGAGGGAAAAAATCACCTGTTGGCAGAGGAAAAACAAAAGGAAGATTGTTTGTCTTACCGTGAGCTCTGGATGACAGAAAGAGAATTCCCCTTTGAGAGTCTGTAGCTCTTGGCCCCACTTCCCTTGAGTTTGGGATTCTTATTCACCTCCCCTGCCCCATGAGAAACCCCAGTGATTTATCTGGGAAACCCCATAAGTATAAATAAAGTGATCACAGGTCGGTCAGGCACTGTGGTGCCTAGCGGAAGACATTATAAATCTTCTATAGAAAAATGCAACCTCAACTCAGCCCACAAAGATAAAAACATCTCTGAATATAAATTTACAGTCCAATGTGAGAAGACAAGGCACCATAAATCATAGTCAGGCGAACCAACAAAGCAGGATACATCTTTCCCAGCGGAATTATAAAACTGAGAATATAAAATAAGCATGTCTAAAATGTGAAAGAATAAAAGAATCCAAAATACAAGGAAGGGAAAAGATACCATAAAAAAACAGGAAGTGCTAGTAATAATTAGTTGGAAAATATAATTGTTAAAAGATGCAATCCACTAACTGACTAAATGATAAATAGATAATAGCAACTAAACATTTATCTGGGAGGAAAAAGCTTCTAAGAAAGATAAGATCACTATTATAAAAAAAGTATAAAACAATTTAAAAAGACCCAAATAAATGGTAAGATAGACCACATACCTAGAGACATATATCTTATAGACTTTTTATTAGTTTTCTATGGCTGCGTAACAAATTATCACAAACTTAGTGCCTTAAAACAATACTCAGTGGTTAGCCTGTAGATGAGAAGTGTGGACAGGCTTGACTGTGTCTCTGCTTAGGGTCTCACAGGCTGAAATAAAGGATTGACCAGGCTGAGCTATACCTTGAGGCTCTTTGGAAGAATCCACTTCCAAGCTCATTCATGTTGTTGACAGAATTCAGTTCCTTGCAGCTGTAGGACTGAGATCTTCATTTCTTTCCTGACTGTCAGTGGGAGTCACTCTCAGTAATTAGAAACCACTGTCTGGTTTTTGCATGTGAACGGCTCCATCTTCAAAGTCAGAAATAGCTAAGTGGATCTCTTTCTTCCTCTAAATGTCTCTGACTTCCCCTTCTGCTCCCAGCTGGGAAAACTGCTTTTTTTGTGTGTGTGTGAGGAGATCAGCCCTGTGCTAACATCCGCCAATCCTCCTCTTTTTTGCTGAGGAAGACGGCCCTGGGCTAACATCTGTGCCCATCTTCCTCCACTTTATATGGGACGCCACCACAGCATGGCTTGACAAGCAGTGCGTCGGTGCACGCCCGGGATCCGAACCAGCGAACCCCGGGCCGCCGCAGCGGAGCGCGCGCACTTAACCGCTTGCGCCACCGGGCCGGCCCCTGGGAAAACTGCTTTTAAAGAGCTTGTGTGCTTAGATTAGCCCACTTAGATAATCCCCCTATCTAAAGCCAATTGTGCCTTATAACATAGCAGAATCGTGGGAGTGATATATCACCATATTCACAGGTTCCACCGACACGCACAGGAGACTAGGTATTATACAAGGGCAAGAGTCAAGAATTCTATTAGAATTCTGCCTACTGCAGGTGTGAATTCTGCCCAGATTTCTTCAGGGATCTATTGTACTTTCAATCAAAATCATAATAGATCTTTTCATATAAATTGACATAGTCATTCTAAAATTGACCTTTATAAGGGGCACAGAATACTCAAGATGCTCTTTAAAAAGAATACAGTTATAAGTAATGAAGAAAGTATGCTATTGCCATACTGATAGAGAGATAGACTAATGAAGACATATATCTTATAGACATAGATCTTATAGACCTTTAATATATAATATATTTTGAAACCACATGTGATACCACGTTTACCAAATTGGCAAAAGATAGTAAACAGAACAATACAAAGTATTGAGGAGGATATGTAGCAAAGAGAATCCAACATTACAAAATGCTTTCAATTCCACAAAAATTGAGAAATTTTGTTTTTAAATTGAAGATAGGTTGTAACCTACAACCCAGCATCATAGGAATCTTATTGGGGAAAGTTATCATGCCTGTGTTAAAGACCTGCACGCAGCCTATTCTCTTCTCCTTCCTAAGGGCATAGAGTAGTTAAGTTTTGTAGCTCTAATCAGATATCTAGACTCAAGGCATTGAAAAGCAGATGTGAGTTCTCTACCACCTTTCCTCACTTGCTTCTTCAAGCTAGGTAGTTATGCCTGACAGATAGTGCAGCTACCTATGGGAGGAAACTCCATCATCTCGGGACTCTTAGTTTGGTGTGCAATAGACGACTCCCCTCAACCCCTCCTTCCAAAGACCTAAGCTGAATTTGTAGCCTGAGTGAGAAATGGACTTTTTCTGTGATAAGCCATTGAGATTTGAGGGTTGTTTGTTACTGTAGCATATCCTAGACTATCCTGACTGATGCACACATATTCATGAGAAGACATATATAAAGATTTTCATAGCAGCAACTTTGTTTTTTGTAATAGTAAAAAGAAAAAAGGATCTAACCAAATTATCAACAGGAGAATGGATAAGCACATTGAATCACATTCCTGCAATGGGATTCTATACAATCATAAGAAGAAAAAAGGGTCATTTATATAATTTTCAAAATCATAATATAGAACAAAAGAAGCAAAGTACAGAATGACAAATATAATGAGTTATCAGATTTATTGATTTATTGATTTATTTATTTATTTATTTATTTATTTATTTATTGTGAGGAAGATCAGCCCTATGCTAACATCTGCCAATCCTCCTCTTTTTTTGCTGAGGAAGATTGGCCCTGGGCTAACATCTGTGCCCATCTTCCTCCACTTTATATGGGACGCCACCACAGCATGGCCTGCCAAGCGGTGTGTTGGTGCGCTCCCGGGATCCGAACCGGTGAACCCCAGGTGGCCGCAGCGGAGCACACACACTTATCTGCCTGCACCTCCAGGCCGGCCCCATGAGTAATCAGATTTAAATAAAGCGTGAAAAATTTTTAAGTTATGTGTGTAGTTTAAGGATACATAGTAAAAGTTTAAACACAACATCCAGGAAAGCAGTTAGCTGTTAGGGATTGGGGCTACAGAAAGCATAAGATCACAGACAGACACGGGAGATTCCAACTGTCTTTGTAATGATTTACTTATTTTTATAATTTGATTGTAAGTACATGTGTGTTTATTATATTGTCATATCCTTTGTCTATTTAAAATATTTCAAAATGATTTTTAAAATATTTAAAATTTTAGTGAAACATATTTAATTCCTCAATTTTAATTTGCTTATTAAATGATATCTCTTTAATGTAGTTTAATACTCAATGGACTGGTAGGTCTTGTTTTATAAGTAAACTTTTTTCTTCAAAAGATGTTCTGATTGACGTGATTTAAACATAGTGAGTTATTTCATCCAAACTTACATTTGCCCCTATGCCTGTGTTATATCTAATGTTAGACAAAGCTTTAGTTTAGTGTTTCTCAATCCATATTAGATTCTACTAACTTTCGAAAAACATAAAAAGATATTGTTCTCACAGTACAAAATCCGAAAAGAGAAGAGCTTAACAGAATTCTTAATTGGCGAGGGAGCACAGAAGATAATGTGAGAAAGCTTAGAGTGTGTGTTATAAATTAACACAGAATGTTCCCTAGGAACGCTCTGCCCACCCTACTTTGAGAATCATTACTATAATTTATGTTTTCATAGGCTTTGAGTCAAAATAAGAATGTTTGGAATTTGGGGCCATTGTAAAGTCCACTGTTTCCTCTAATCAGGACTGAAATAATCCATAGTGATAGTCACCATTTTCTTCTTTTCTTAAAGCTCATTGTTATGAAATGAATGAAGACATTGACTGTGGAATCTCAGAATTCTGGAAGAAAGGTTTTGTGGCTCTTCAAGCTGCCATTAATGCTGCTATTATAGAGTGAGTACAAAGTGTTCAATGCAAACTGATGTTCAATGCAGATGAATGGTATTAGAGGCATCCAAAGTTTCGTGGAAGAAAAGATAAACAGATAGCATTGTTCTTTCATTTACTCACTGGTTTCTTTACAACAAAGTTTACTTAAGTTGCTATATGCCATGGGGGATATAGACATAAATAGAAGAGAAATTTTCTCCTCCAAGAACTCAGCCTTTGTAAGAAGCGAGGCATATAATAAGAAAATTATTAGAATAGGAGAAGTAGGCTACCACGGAGGTATAAATAAAGTCCTTATAAGTAAACAAGAAAAAGCTTCTCAGCCTAGAAGGCCACGGAAGAATTGTAATAACATTTAAAATTGAAGCTTGAGATAAGGGATTTGTCAAGTACATAAGGTCATAAAGGCATTTCAAGCAAATTATAAGGTAATCTTAGACGGGGGTAATAAAACACATAGTAAATTTTGAGAACTGTGAGTATCTCAGAATGCCTGGAGTCGAGGCTCCAAGTAGACCAGTGGCAGAATACAGAAGTGAAAAGTTAGGCTAGCATCAGATCCAGGCAGGCCCATTATGCCTTCACAGGGAAAGAGATGACTGAAAGAAAACAGAGCATGCCATCCATTAATATACAAATTTTGTTTATATTATCTTCCTTCAGATCACAACAAATCACTCAGTGATGGAGAAACTGATGTCAGTTACTGGAAAAAATATGAAGATATATCCCTTCATTCGTCAAGGAGGAGTCAGGACTGATTTCTTCATTTTCTTCTGCATTATTTCCTTTTCCCCATTCACTTACTATGCATCTGTTAACGTTACAAGAGAGAGAAAAAGGATGAAGGGCATGATGACAATGATGGGTCTTCAAGATTCAGCATTCTGGTGAGTAAAGTGTAGCACAAATAAATAAATGTAGGAATTCAGGAAAAGTGGGCTTCTTCAAAGCATCGTTATTCAAACTTAATGATTTCCTAACTTTTTCCTATGAACGGAATACATTGTCTTTGGTGAAATGCTTGCCAGGCTAAGGCTGAGTGTTATTATGCTTCTGGGACTGAATTAAAAACATCAGGTTTGAGTTTGCTGGTTGATTGTAAAGCAGGGATAATGGAGAATGGCCACTGAGTCTACTGGTAAGAATGTGATAGAAATGGTAATCTTTGGTGTCTAAGACAAATAGAAGTGGAATTCAAGCCAGGATGGGACTGAACGGAAAAAAACAGAGGTCAAGGATCAGGAGCTTTTTTGAGACTGAAGAACAAGCATGAAGGATATATTTGAGGGAATAAGGTTGCAGAACAGGATTGTAAATAGGGGCTGGATAGTTTGAATTTAAAATGTCAGAGGTTGAATAATTCCAAGTATGGCCAAGGTCCTGGGTGAGAACTGGTGAATAACCGACTGAAAGAGCCTGGAGGTAATGTTTATAGCTAGGAGAAAGTACAATAACAGAGAGGCTGGGGAGCCAGTTGGGATATGCATACGGCAGCTGATTAGGAGTCTGGAAGAAAATCCTGTAAATCAATACTGAATTTTTATTGAATTAATATTGGAGGAAAGTATAGCGGAGCAGTAAAATCTAAAAACTCTAGAGCAAAAATGTCTAGACTTGAAATATAGTTACTTAACATCCTTGTTCAGTAGGTTCTTTGTCTATACAATGAGGAAAATAGTGGTATTTCTGCATAGGGCTACTGTGAGAATAAAATGATTTAATATTTGCTAAGTTCTTAAAACATTCTCCATCAGAGTAATTGCTGTATGTGTCAGCTATTATTTTGTTGATTTTTCTGCTGTTTTTTTAAATCATTGTTTCATTATCCCCTTCAAAGAATATTAATAAACAAGATAAAGGAATTGAAGAAAGGAAAGTGAATTATGCTTTCTTAGCAGAAAATGAGTGGAGTTAAGGCAAGTATGTAGACTATTTGGTGTACACATTCAGAGAAAGATGAAAACAGCTTTTGGAAAAAGAGAGAGGTGACAGAATTACACATAAGGAAGAATTTTTTTATCTCCAGGGAAATTTGTGAAGCTCTGAGCCCCCAGAGAGCTCCCAGAGAGGAGAAAAGGATTTGAGATTCACTGAGGGGTTACCATGTTCAAGGACAGACATGACCTCTCTGTAGTATTATTCCTATTATCCAATAAAAGAGCAATGAAAGAACTTAGAGAGGATCGGGAGTTTGCCTGAGGTCACAGAGTAAGAATACAGCAGAGAAAATGTTTGAAACAAAATATAACAGACTGGAAGTCTATTTTTTTCCTTTTTCACAGTGATGTATGTGTGTGTGTGTGTGTGTGTGTGTGTGTGTGTATTTCTGGGAAAAAGAATATTCCTAATTCCTAAAGAATTCTTCCCAAAACATTTACTTCATATTTACTTATCCTAAACACTCAATAAATATCTACTGAATGAATGACGTTAGAATCCATTCTAGGTCCTCCTTTTCAACGGAACGTGAAATACTAAATTAACATTTTGTTTCACGTTAGGCTTTTCTGGGGTTTGCTCTATGCTGGTTTCATCTTCTTTATGGCCCTTTTCTTGGCACTTACTGTAAAATATGTCCAATTTGTCATCCTGACTGGCTTCACGGTGGTCTTCACCCTCTTTCTCCTTTATGGATTGTCTTTGGTAAGTTGGTGAATTAAATTTCTTTGTGCCCAACTCTTATCCTAAGTGTTGCTTTCCAATTAGGTTATATTTCTACATTTCCCTTTGCTTCTCTGTCTGTGCTGTTTGTATGGTAAAGTCTGTAGACTGGTACAATTTGATTTGTAGTGTTTTGTAATATCAATTTGTAGTGCAATTTGCAGAACATAGCTTTGTATTTTAAATACAGAATAATAATATGGCTCTAATTTTGTATATTAAATTTCTTATTTTATTATGTTGATAATAATTCTTAGAGAAACATAGACAAACTGGATCTTCTGTCATTTTAGATGGCTTTGGCTTTTTTAATGAACGTCTTGGTAAAGAAATCTTTCCTCACTGGTCTGGTCGTGTTCCTTCTCACTGTCTTTTGGGGGAGTCTGGGATTCACAGCATTGTACAGGCAACTTCCCGCATCCTTGGAGTGGATTTTAAGTCTTCTTAGCCCCTTTGCCTTCACGCTTGGAATGGCCCAGGTGAGAAGCAATCCAATTGCTTATTAATGACATTTTTGAAATATCTTTCCTCTCTGGAATTCAGTTGTCTAGTCATTTCTGTGCTCAGACTTGTAAGGTTTAAAACCCTAGTGAAGACCATCATGAAGCTGCAAAGATGAACTTTTAAAAGCTTTGAAAGTATTTAGCCCTGCAAAATAAGCCACTTGGTCAGTTTAAAAATGGAAGGTCAATATATAATTCTTTAGAGACAATATAAAGTGTTCTATTTGGCTATTAATTAAATATGGACTTGATGTCACAAGTCTAATTCTAAATAACTATTCCAATTTGTATTTTGACTTCGTAACTGGACAGCACATGATTGTAAAAAACACAAAGTAAAAGACAAGAAAATTAAAAGTTAAAAACACCTTGAAAATACATTAATTGATTAGTAAATTACATTTCTGTCCATAAAACGTCATTTCTCTTTATCTGATTCTCACATTGAACTCACTTTGCCATCCCTCTGATCAAGTGGTAATGTTAATCACTACATACCCATTATGTAGTGCTTAGCAAAAAGATTATTAATTATAAAGTATTCATTAACTCAAACATTATAGATCACTTTTTCCCACTGGTTCTCCTTAAACACACAAGTGTTTTTTCCAAGAGCATAAATTCTCTCTCACGCAGCCATTTTCAAGGAGCATCACATCTTTTTCCTGTGTCCTCATTTGTAAAAATTTATTGAAAGTCAAGCTCAAATGTCATCTTTTACCATACTTCCCTACCTCCTCCTAATGCTCCAATTTCATTTGGAACATATTTTAAACATAGCAGTTACTAAATTGCATTATATTTGGTTACACGCCTGTGCCTTCCAATTGTAAAGTAGGCAGTCTCGTTTAACTTTGTATTCTCAGTATGAGGCAAAAAGTAGCTATTTTACTTTTATGCTAAATCTGTTTAAAATTTATCGTAAACCTAACTTCCTTTAATTAATTACTTTTTAATTTTCAGCTTTTACTCTTGGACTATGATTTGAATTCTAATGCATTTCCTGATCCATCAGACTGCTCAAATCTAATAATAGCAACAAATTTCATGCTGGCTTTTGATATTATCCTGTATCTGGCATTGCCGATCTATTTTGACAAAATTTTGCCAAGTGAGTAATGATATGATTAAAATCGAATATCATTTTAATAATTTTATTTCCTAAAAATGAATCTCCTAGCACACATGCTATTTATATTTTAAGAACTACTTTGCGCATCCACAGGAAGGAAATGAAGCCAGGTAGTTGCCACCGGCCAAATTAGTTCTTTTTTTTTGTGAGGAAGATCAGCTCTTAGCTAACATCCACGCTAATCTTCCTCTTTTTGCTGAGGAAGACTGGCCCTGAGCTAATGTCTATTGCCAATCCTCCTCCTTTTTTTCCCTTTTTCTCCCCAAAGCCCCAGTAGATAGTTGTATGTCATAGTTGCACATCCTTCTAGTTGCTGTATGTGGGACGCCACCTCAGCATGGCCAGAGAAGTGGTGCATTGGTGCGTGCCGGGATCCGAACCCGGGCCACCAGCAGTGGATCATGCCCACTCAAACGCCAAGCCACGGGGCCAGCCCCCCAAATTAGTTCTTTGTTTGTCTCTTGCTACTTGACTGGTCAGAACTAAAGCCTGAATTTTGTTTATAGAATCACTGACCTTTGTTTGAACTTCACTCTGCTCTAAGTGTATGGCTTGTTTCTTTTTAAAGAAATGCTTAGAAGTCTACTTCCTAAGTGGGTCTGGCCTGGTACTTAATCATGGAAATTTATAGCCTAGCTATTTAGCTCAGCGATTCCGAGCCCCGGCTAATACCTCAGAACCTGGGGAGCTTTAAAGAAATACCAAGCCCAGCTCAGCCCCTAGAGATGCTGATTCAATTAATCAATCATGGGGCCAGGGCACCTATAATTTTAAAAATCTCCCCAGAGTTTCACAATAGGAAAGTCAATAGATCATAAATTTTCATTTTTATCACCTTGCAACTTAAAAGAATATGAGTCCCACAAAAGCAAGGATCTGTTTTGTTCACAGATGCACCCCAGGCACCCACCTCAGTGTCTGAGGCACACTAGGGACTCGGTAAATGCCTGTGGCCAAAACACCAGTTCATTTTTTTCCTCCCTCCTTTTAATCAAAGGCAGGGTCTGTGTCTTTCACCTCTATATTTCCTGTTCAAAACAGTATGCCAAGAGCCCTTCATTATACCATATAATCCAGCAATCCCACTTCTGGGTATATATCCAAAGCATACAAAGTCACTATCTTGAACAGGTATCTGCACTCCCACGTTCATTGCAGCATTATTCATAGTAGCCAAGATATGGAAACAATCTAAGTGTTTGTTGATGGATGAATGGGTAAAGAAAATGTGGTGTGTGTATATATATATAGACAATGGAATATTATTCAGCCATAAAGAAGAAGGAATCTTGCCATTTGCAACAACGTGGATGAAACTAGAGGCCCTTGTGCTAAGTAAAATAAGCTAGACACAGAAAGACAAATACTGCTTGACATCACTTATATGTGGAATCTAAAAAAGCCAAACTCATAGTAACAGAGAGTAGAATGTTGGTTACCAGGGGCTGGGGGTGGGGTGGGAGAAATGGCAGATGTTAGTCAAGGGGCCCAAACTTTCAGTTATAAGATGAATAAGTTCTGGAGACCTAATGTAGCAGAGGGACTATAGTTAATGTATTATATGCTTGAAATTTGCTAAGGCAGTACATCTCAAGTGTTCTCACCATACACACACACAGAAAAACAGTAACTATGTAAGGTAACAGATGTGTTAATTAGCTTGATGGTGGTAACATTTCACAATGTATACATATATCAAAATGTCACATTGTACACCTTACATGTATACAATTTTTGTTTGTCAATCATACTTCAATAAAGCTGGAAAAATTGTGAAAATCACTAATGAAATAAACACATCGAGTAGGTAAAAATAAAAAGTCAGCGACTAAACACTTGTAGAAAGGGAAGAAGGGGAAAGAATGAGAGCAAAGAAGCAGAGCAATGTCTGGAAGCAGTAATTGATCATGTTGTTTTTGGATAATCCCTTAAGAACAATAACTGTCTCTGCCTTTTAGAAGAGTCCAGAATAATAGATGCCAGGATCTACAATTTTGGGCTAATATATTTATTATGTAATTGGAATTATTTGTATCATCCATTCATTAAGCCAGAATTTATGCCTGAATTTGAACAAGGTGACTTTGTTCAAAATTCTTTTAAAGATAAGAAATATGAATGACAGAAAGGAAAACTAACTGGATAAAATGACAGAATCATGTAATAGTAAATCTAATGGTAAAATGTATCCAATATAGTGCAGACTTTTGTTTGTCAGATTTCCTAATCAAGGGGAAGACATGAGTACTAGCTAACAATAAGCCATATGCCAGGTGTATAGAGGATATTCAGTAAATATTTACTGCATGATTGACTGAAGATGTGAAAAATACACTTAGGTTTGAAAACCCATCAATCTTACTCTGCAGGTCAGTTGCAGAATATTAGAGGAATATAATTCTTCCATTTCATAATGTCTCCTAATACATAGAAAAACAGAAAGTGAAAATTAAGGGCAAATACACTGTGGATTAGTTTCCAGAAAGAAGTTCATGGATAATATGTTCTTAAAGCAGATCAGAAATTTGCTTCAGAGGAAAGTTATTATTTGGGGATAAGATAAAGCATAAATACAAAGTAGCATTTTTAAAAATTCCACTCTATGTTAAGTTTCAATAAATTCTTTTGCCCCATTCTCTCTTTTCCTTATAGTGTGTCACTTATTTTTGTTAAATCCTATTCTATCTTCTCTTGGAATGTTTGTTTTATATATCCCATAGTCACTTCTCAATTTCTTCTTCCTATGCCAGTGTAATGGCACCTGGACTCCTAGACAGAATTCAACATGCCTGGCACATCTTGCATTTGTATTCCACTATCTGGCTTTCTGAAGGTTAAGAAAAGTTTTAACATTTTTTTAAGTTCCTCCTGAACTTTTTTAAATCACAGTTTCATTTTTCCTATAGGAACAATTATTATAACAGAGACAGCTTAGTGATTTTTTTCCTTATGAAGCTACACATATCAAACAAAACTTGTGCATTACCTTGTATCAACCATGTGTTCGGGTTTATCAGCAAAGGGGTTGCATTGCTATGCTGCATTAGGGTGACTCCCTTAAAGTGGTGATTGACTCAATATTTAATTGTCTCCTGGGCATCCCAGGAGGG